AGAGAGAGAGAGAGAGTGAGAGCGCGGAGAGTCGAAGTGCCCCCCTTGGAGCCACGCCCAATCGCGAGCCGGCAGTCGTGCACTGCTCTGGCTGTTTCCAGAGCCGAGTCCATTGGCCCGCGCTGACTTTGCGTCATCGCCACCCCGTCGTTCGCCGGCACCGCGTGCGTTTCACGGACGACGAGGCTCTCTCGTACCCGCCACCGCGCGAACCGCTCGTGAGACGAAGGGGTTGAAAGGGGCCGAGAGGAAAGACAGGGAGACTCGCGCGACGAAGAGGGTGTTGAAATTTAGAAGGCTTCATTTGGTCCATTCTTCGGCCGTCGCGGCGCGGCAAACTATCGCAGTTACGGCGCTTATACTCGAATTCCCCCTTTCTCTCTCACGCTTTTCCATCACCATCTCCTCCTTCGTCCTCTCTCCTTCTCGTTCCTCCTTCCTCCTTCCTCCTTCTTTCACTATCTTTCCTCGCTCTCGCCCGTCAGCGGATTTTCTACGAAAAATCTCGGTCCGTTGCGATATTGGATTCTTATGCGAAGTACATTCCGATTTTATATGCGTATTATCAAATATTTTATTACAAAATATTTTTGCACACAAAATAGCACGCGTTTTCTTCATATCCGATATGGAAATCTGGTTAAATCTTGCGGATATATTATTCTTTAAGTTTCATGAGAATAAAACGTTTGTGCTACATCTTTCTAAATTCTTAAATTATATTTGTCACATTTCTTAATGTAAAATATGAGCATATATTTTCACTATAAATTTACTTCATTTACTTTGTCGCTCAAATTTTTTATTTGCATCATCAGCCCTTATTATCAAAATACTTTCTATCTGTGATATTTATTTAATTGAATTTATATTATGGTGTAAATAACAAAGACCTTCTAATATTCAATCTGTGAGCTTTGAGAAAATCAATAAGAGAATTTAAATCTACATACAATAGTTAAATTAGTTGAATGTGACAAAAGCTTATTACGGATATGAAATTTTCTCTCCCGTTATTTTTACATTTGCTATGCTGAATTTCAAAATTTCGAATCTCATCGTAGATCAGAAAATATTAAAGCAATGATAAGGCGAGCGATCGCAAATACCGCAAATCTGGGTTAAAAGGGTGACCTCGACTCGATGGCTTTTGTAGATCCGAGAGGAAGGGTTTAATGTGAAGTTCCCGCCGTTCTCGGAGTACGTTGAGTGCCGCAGATGACGCAAACTCGTTTGCAAGATATTCTTCCAGCATTCGTAAAGAGCATTCTTGAAAAACACGCGCTCTAACAACTTGCCGCCCTACTCGCAGACAGATAAACTATATGAGAAAGGAGAAAAACTACTTCCGTAACGTGCGTAAATACGGTAAACAATTTGTACGAAGTAGAATCGGAAATGACACTGATGATCTTTTCAAAATTTTAGCTCGTACCTCTTTAAAGACATTCCGGTGAATGTTTATAGTGACGTTTATTTAAAACAAAGAGATCTAAAATCTTAATAAAAAGTTATTAAATTTTTCGTTATCAATTTTTATGTTATGAAATGAAGTCTGATGGATGAATTTATTCGCAAATTTTTTCCCTTCCCACGCATCATAAAGCAATAAAAGTCGATATTAAATGAAAAAAAAAAACCTGTTTAATCTAATATTCAACTTGTTTGTAATACCTTGACATTTTGTTAACTTAGAAGGTTTCCATAAAAACTTCGAAAATGCTAAAGTGAACTACACAAAAAGCAATTAAACTAAAAGAATGCATTAATATTGATACTGCTATCAACTACAGTGAAAGTAATCGCAATTATATACTTATGTTGTAAAGCGCTATGTCATTTTCAAGTTTCAAGTTATCTCTTGCACTGTATAAAATAGTTTAGAGAGAGATACTCAAATGATAATGCTTGATTCTATAATTTATAACTAATTTCATGATTATAAGAAACAAAATTATCATAAGAAACAAAAAAATTAAGAACGAGAGATTGAAATCCAAGTAACTTCAAAATTTAATTACTTTATGTTATTAATGTGTAAAAGAACAACATGTTTTTCATGTAACATTAAATATAAATCTAAATGTTTAATTCTACATGTCAACTTCACAATTATTACGAATATCATCACAAAGTATCGAATTTCTCAACGCGAAGAAAAAGAGCCAGATTAAAAAAAAAAAAATAATTTTTTTATCACTATAGAAAATCCTCGAAGTTTCGAATTTTAAATAACTTTGAAATGATCGCGACAAGGAAAGAAAGTACGGACTAATTCTCTGGTCATTTTTATCTCGTCAGAGATCGAAGCTTCAGAGAGCTCCACTACTCGCGTACTTAGTGCGCGGCCAAGTATTTAAATACTTATCCCTATCGCGAGTGGTGTTCAGCCGTCGGGAAGGCTCGCGCCGAGTAGCGTTAATAGCCCACACGGGCAATTAAACGCGGCGAATACATAAATACACGTCATTAACTTATCGCTCAAAGAGTTTGCCGGAGCGATTAGGTCCTTTAAGGCCCACAGGCGCGCGCCATTCATTCGGCCGGGACCCCCCTCATCATCACCGAGGCGCAATTTCGAGCGCAATTTCGAGCCCTTCTCCATCCGTGTATTAGCTTACTGATTGAAATCCGCTCCTTTATCCGCCACTTTCTCGCGACGCCAAAGATATCGGGGAAGATTCTCAGTTAGCGCCACGTGGCAAACTTCCCCGTGGAAAAAGTTGCAAATTAAAAAAAAAAAAAAGAAGAAAAAAAGATAGCGAGTTATAACGTCGATAAAAATTGCAACTCTGCCGCGTGGACTAATAGAAGATATTTCGCGAAAGTATTTCGGATCGTATCTCTATCGGTTTCTCTATCTATTTATCTCTTGTGATAAATGATGCGCATATATTAATATTTTTATTCCTTCTCTATCGAACGTGATAATTAATTTTAACGGACAATACAAGTGAAACAAGATAAAAAGTAAATTAAATCGATTTGAGGTTAAAATTAATCTACATTGATAGAGATAAATACAGAATTCGCCTGTGTGTTTGATCTTACGAACTATCGCCATTTATTGATATTATTTATTGATACATTTATTTATTGATACGCTTATGGCGAGTGAGAGAAATCTTACCTTGCAAGACGTGAAAAGTAATGCTGTAACACTGATCGTCCCGTTGAAACAGCCAAGTCTTGAAAAGCAGCTTTCTCCGAGTTATTCTCGCCATGTTCTGTTGAAGATATCGTGAATAATCGTTATTTCAACTCGTTTTTCTACATAAAATTGCAAATTTCAAAACTAGGAGGTATCTAACACGCACGAACGACGCGTAAACTACTCAGTGATATACCGAGCGCCATCTGTCGACAGCATGTGGAATGACGTAACGTACATTCAAACATGGCGCCGCCCTTGGTTGTGATATTATTAGCTCTAACCTTCTCAGAAGCCGCATAAAAAAATTTCGTCGGCTGCGTGAGAATTCTCGCGGTGATTATTGATAGCGATCTAAATTTAATAAACACAAGCTATACACATTAACGTAATTGACAGTTTGAGTAATAATACAAATTATATCATAACAATGTCTATGTTACGCGCTGTGTTATTCAGATGTCACAACAACGGGTCGGTGATTTCAAAGTAATTATGAATGACTTTTGGACATTATATTACGTAAATCTCTAAGAAGAAAACATGCTATAATAAAATGAAAGAAATATAAATATCATACATATTTTACGCTAGAAATTGAGATTGTACGATATAATGATAAAAAACTTATTAGTTACAGTTATGATATATTAAATTAATCTTTATTGATCTCAGGTATCCTTTGCAGAAATATGTTCTGCAAGGAAAAAGCCAAAATATATGGGGAATAGTGAAATGTGAATTAACTAAAAATACTCAAAGATGTGCCAAAGAAAATGTAAACGAGTCAAAACTTTCCTCATACATCTTAAAATTTGGCTTTAGTGGACTTGGAGTGTCGGCTGCTTGCATTTTGAGGTCAAGTAATAAAATCGTGTTTTGTAAAGAAGCTTCAAGAATAAATGATATAAATTTAGTCAATTCGGTTAATTCAAAACCCTTGACCTTTGAATGGACAAAATTTTTTAAATATTTATATCCACATATCTGGTATTTATTACTGGCATTGTCAGTAAGTAATTTATGAATGTACACAATTGATAAATTTTATAATGTAACATAAATAACATAATGGCAATTTGTATTTACAGAGTGCATTAATAGTTGCATTATTAAATATTCAAATACCACAGTGCGTTGGAAGCGTTATAAATGTACTAACAGAAATATGTAAAAACAAAGGTGATTCATCGAAACAAGTCATTTTGCAACTTACTCAACCAGCTTTCACTTTGGCACGCATGTACATCGCGCAAGTAGGTAAAATAATTAGCATATTCTTTTTTCGATAACTCTAAAATTCATACTCATACTCCATACTCATACTCATACTCCATTCATATTCATACTCTATAAATTTTAATATTTATTTTTTAAGGCATTCTTTACCTTCGTATATATTTACACTCTTTCGCATGTTGGTGAAAGGATTGCGATGAACTTACGTCAAGATTTATTCAAGTCCATTATCATGCAAGACATAGCATTTTTTGATAAAACACGTTCTGGTGAAATAATAAGTCGATTGACCAGTGATATTCAAGATTTTAAAAGCTCATTTAAGATTTGCATATCTCAAGGCTTGAGAAGCTTTACACAAATTATTGGTTGTGTCGTCTCTGTAATAGTGATATCACCGCAATTGACCACTCTTGTAGTATTCAGTTTGCCCCCGATAATTTTTATCGGTACTCTCCTGGGACGAAGTTTGCGCAAGTTATCGATGGAAGCGCAAAATCAAGTCGCGAAATCTACTGCTGTATGTGAAGAAGCTATACAGAACATTCGAACGGTATTTCAGATAAATAACCAACTAAAAAGATATTCAACAAAAATATTAACACCATTTTAACACCATCTTCCTTCTTTTTATTAGGTGAGAGCTTTCGCCGCGGAAGAGAAAGAAATGGAAATGTTTTACAAAGAAATCGATCGTTCATGTGAACTATACGAACGACTAGGTTTTGGTATAAGCTTCTTTCAAGCTGGAACGAATTTATTGCTCAATGGTATTTTGCTTTCCACATTATATCTTGGTGGGCAGCTACTCGCCACAGAACAATTGTCTCCCGGAAATCTCATGGCATTTTTGATGGCAACACAAACTATACAAAAATCTTTGGGTCAATTGTCAGTGCTTTTCGGAACTTTTGTCAGGGGACAAAGTGCGGGGGCTAGAGTTTTCCAAGTAATTTTATTCGGACTATATAATTTATTCAAAAACAAAAGATTGTTATTCTTTTTTTTTTAGTATCTAGATATGCCGCCTTCACCTATGATGATTGGTGGTGACATAATCACGAATAAATCTTTGGCGGGAAATATAGTTTTCAAAGATATAAACTTCAGCTACCCAACTAGACCCGATGACATCATTTTGAAAGATTTTAATTTACACATTCCCGCTGGGAAAACTGTAGCCATTGTTGGTACTAGCGGTAATGGTAAATCGACAGTGGCTGTGTTATTGGAAAGGTACGATCTAACAATTACATATATTTTAATTCAAATTTGCAAAATGTATATAAAATTGTGCAGATTTTACGATGTCGATAAAGGTTCCATTACAATTGACGGTCGAGATATCAGATCCCTTAACTCGAGTTATCTCAGAGGCAGCGTTTTAGGCTATATAAATCAAGAGCCTACTTTATTTGCTACTAGCATTATGGAAAATATCAGATACGGGAGACAAGACGCATCGGATGAGGAGGTAAAAATAAAATGTTGAAATTTATATAAATATACTGTCCAAGATTATTTGATATAATCTATTTAGGTGATTGAGGCAGCTAAAGAAGCAAATGCGCATGAATTCATAACAAAATTCCCCGACGGTTACACGACTGAAGTTGGCGAAAGAGGCATGCAACTCTCTGGTGGCCAAAAGCAACGGGTTGCTATCGCCAGAGCTTTGTTAAAACATCCATCTGTTTTGATTCTGGATGAAGCAACAAGGTAGAAATAATAGTGAGATTATTAAGATTTGTTTCTACTAGAAACAATAAACTACTAATCTGTTTGTTCATATTTAGTGCATTGGATTATGAAAGCGAAAGAGTTGTTCAAAAGGCAATAGAAAATGCTACGAGGGGTAGAACAGTACTTGTAATCGCTCACAGGTTGAGTACCATCAAAGGAGCTGATGTAATCGTTGTGTTACAACGTGGTGTCATTGTGGAGGTATATTCTAATCGATAAAATAATATAATGTTAATATAATGTTCTTATTCTATATAAATATATAATATATAAATACACGCGTTTTTTCTTAGATGGGCACGCACTCGGAATTGATTAATCGGAAAGGTGTGTACTTCACGCTCGTTAACGAACAAGAAAAAGAGAATCTATAATATTAATAAGACTTAGAACATGCAAATTGTATCGCTATAAATTGTTACTGTAAAC